CAGGGAGCCCCAGGCCACGTCAGACCCCCTCCTCTTCCCGCTAAGGGTCAGCAGCCCAGTCTAGAAACCCACGGCCAAGGCTGAGCGGGACTCTGCGTGATCTAGACGAGATGACAGGGTGTGGGCAGGCAGGGAGACCCAGGGGGGAGAACCTCATGCCTGGGTTGGGCTTTTGCTACCCCGGCTGCCCCCATTCCCAGCAAACGACCTGGGAAGTTGGAGAAACCTTCTGAAAGGCCACCGTGAGGAGGTGGTCGGTGGCAGCGGCGGGATGAGGGTTTGGGGGCAGGCCAGATCTCTCTCCCCAACACCCTCTCTGGCCTCCCACTGAGTATCCCCACACACACACCTCCTCCCTTACAGATCCACGCTCGCAGCCGGCATTGCAGGACACCTCCGGCTGGCCTTCCTCCCACGGCGGAACCCACACTAGCTGGCCACTGAACGTTCCACGCAGACCTTCGCCTGACCGCGCCCTTCAAGCCGCCCAACACCCTCCTTCTCCTCCACCACCGCCAGGCGGGGGCGCGGGCGCGCTGGCCTTAGGGCAGCCCCTCCCCACCCTCAGGATGGCTTTGCAACAGCCCCAGGACAAGCCCTACCCATTCCGCTTTCGGGCCATTTCTCCACCTTCTTACCCAGGTGAGCCCAGCCTCATTTTCCTCTTAGCACACAGGTGCAGCTGGGGGAGGGCAGGCGGGCAGGCAGGTGGAGAGACAGCACTCTGGAAGTGACGGAGAGGGCCGGGGTCCTTGTGGAGTAGCAGCAGATAATGGCTGGGTTGCTTTCCTTGGTTCTCTGTGGCCTACTGGGTCCATGGCTTGTTTCTCAGACCGCAGATGCCAGTGGTGGAGGGCAGGCAGCTGTTCTCTTGGGTCAAGAAGGAGTGTATGCCAAAAAAAAAGCTCTATCTGTGTGTGTGTGTGTGCATGTGTACAGGAGGTGGGTGGGTGTGATCTCAGGGTGTAGACGGTGTGCACAAAACAGAAGGTGGGAGGTTGGCTGAAACTCCTGCACAGGGGCCAGGCTGGCACAGGCATGTTGGGCAAGGGGGCGGGCAGGAGTTTGATGTTCCCGAGCCTCTGCCTCCTCCGCTTCCTGGATTGTGGGCACCCCCCCTCCGGGCACCCCAAGTACATGTCCTTTGGTGCCCTGAGAGGTCAAGGGGGGACAGGTTTCCCAGAAGAGCCGGCTGCCCACCTGCTCCCTCTTCTGCATCTCTCTCAGCATCTGGTGCCGAGGCGATGGCTCGGGGCCACTCTCAGCGGGCTGGGCTGGATCCAGCAGGGGCTTCTAGGCTGCTTCATGACAAGCTGGCTCCAGAGGTCCCACAGCCGCAGGAGGCTCTTCCAAACAAGCGTGGCCCACTTCCCCTCATCCTGACGTCTCACTGTGGGGCTGGGCTAGCCCACGAGTTGTGCCAGAGCAAGACTAGCCCCTCTGAGCCAAAGGCATCAAGCTATTTCAGCCCCACATTTCCAGTCGCTCCTGGGGCGTTGCTCTGCGGGACACCTCAGGAGCCAACCGTTGACCTTGCTCAGAGAGCTGGGGCCAGAATCCTGACCACAAGGTGCCGATCCATGTAGAACAGAGTTCTGTTTTCTCCTGGCCTTTCCCCCCCTCCATCAGAAATGTTGCGGTGAAGCCTAAGGGGTTTTTTCTCAGCCTTTCTCTCAATCCCACCACCCTCGTGGGTGCATTTTGACTGGCATCTTCAGAGGACAGCACCTCTGAAGAGGCCCATGGCCACAGAGAGACTGGCGAAACGTTAGGAAGAACCACCTTCAGAACAAAGAGCCAAAGAGCCCGAAAAACCCACAACAACCATTAGATCCGGGCCGTGAAAGTCTTCGCGAATGCATTATACTCAGGAAATTGCTTTTCTGGCAGCAGTGCCAAATTCCAGACCTTTTGGATCACTCAGAGCTGATCTGGAAGAGGGGAGAGGGGTGGCAGAGAAACGCCTGCATTCACGGTGAAACGCAGCTTTGTTGGTCTCCCTGTCAGCTTCCGAGAGACCATTTGAAGGCAAAGCGAACGAGCTGATGGTGGCCATAAGGTTCTTGGTTTGCCAAAATAACCGCTGCGCAGCCACTTACGGTGGCCCTATGAATGGGTGGCCTCCCAAACGATGCTGGTTCACAAACACCTTCCTGCCCAGTCTTCGTCTTGGTTTGGGACCAGAAGTTGCATCCGCTGCTCTTGATTTGGCATGACCTGCAGCCGGAGACACTGCAGGGAAGGGAGTCCCCTCGACTCTCGTGGGCCTTTTGGGGCATTCAAAGAGGAGGAGGGGAAGGAGGCCCTCTCTATGGACTCTTCCACTCTTTTGTGGAGAAGAATCACAGAAAATGGTGGTGCCGTGGGGCAAGGGGGAACGTACTGGCTAGCCTCTTGACCTTTGGTCCATGGAGCCCTGCCAAGTCCTGCCCCGTTGGGGCCTTTTAGTATCAACATGAAACCCCTCTGTATAGCCTGGGCTGAGAAGTCCTCTTGAAGAGGAGACCCAGGACTAGAGATGGGCATGGATTAAAAAATTCATCACCAAATTCATTCAAATATTGCAACTTTGTCAATTCATATTCATACAAATCAATGCCCCTGATGAATACGAGTCAATACATTTTTAGTGATTTTTGACACATTGATTCATTTGGCTATAAAACAGCCTCCCAATCCCCTAGAGACACTGAAACTGCAGGGGAGATTATTCTGACACTTCTCTACAATCCCTACAAGTTTGACAAAGACTGGGTTTCGGATGTCCAAGTTATACACCCCAGGAGAGTTCCCCCCCCCGAGGCACCTAGAGACACCAAAATTACAGAGAAGCTTCCACTGACTCTCTTCCACAATCCCTTCCAAGGCTGGTGAAGATTGGCTTCCCCCAAGGCAGCTGCTAAAGGGCACTTTCCTGGGGGGGGGGTTGACCCACTTTGGGGGGGTACAACTTGGAGGCCTGAAACCCAATCTTCACCAAATTTGCAGGACTTATAGAGGAGAGTCAGGGGAAGCCGATCCCTAGGTGCTTGGGGGGGTGTTTTATAGGGTTTGAAAGTCAAAAACGAATTGATTCATCAATTCATCCAAGTCAAATATGAATCAATTCATCAATTTGTCAGATAAAAGGTCTATATTGGTAATTCATGATTTGTCGACCTTGATGAATCACAAATCCCCATTTTTCTGATTTGTGCCCATCTCTATCCAGAACCATCACCGGCGGTCTTTGAGCGGCTGGGTGGGTGAGAACAAAGAGGAGCTTCATTCAGATACGAGGGAAGTACGAGGGTTGGTCCTTATGCTCTGGGACTCCATGTCCCGGGCAGGATGAGCACCCCCAGCTGAGCACCAGTACACCCTTCTCCTCGTTTGCGCCTGCTGCTAAATGGCACCAGGAAGGGCAGTGTTTCTGCAGCACGTGGTGCAGGAGGCGAGTGGTAGCTGAAGACAAGCTTCAAATGACACACCTCAAAACACTTCCTCTTCCTTGCTGCAAAGCGAGGTGCCCTTGGGGGAGGGGGTGTCCAAGATCTGTGAGTTTGGTGTGTGTGTGTGTGCGTGTGCAACGACTCTTCCGAGAGTACCGGACTCCAGTTCCGGCTCCTGCTGCCTGGACTGACTCTTGGGTCTGGACGCTCGCTCGTGGGAGCGCAAGGAGCTTGCCTTTTGGCCAGGGCCACGGCTGCGGATGCTGCCCTTTTCACCCACAATCAAGGTCTTCTCCTCTGTCAGCTTTCCGTTCCCTTGCTGGTGATCTCTGTAGGAGCTGAATTCTCGGTGGTCTAGGACTGTGCTGTATTTTATCGGCCTTGGGACTTGGGAGGGGGTTCGCTTGACATCCGGAGATTAGGGCGTAACATCTTAAGACAGCAGGTCTCACCGCTGCCCTGTGGATCTCTTTCTGGTGCATTCTTGCCAGAAGACCCAGCCTTTCTGGCCCACCCTTGTCCTGCTGTTCCCTCCAGGCCTTGAGAGGGCTTGGAAGACCTGCTGTGCCCAAATCCCTGGCGGCACCAGAGGTGCCCGATGACTGCTGTGATTCACGGGATGAGCCAAATGCAGGCCACCTCCCTGGACGCCCTGGGCTTCCTGCCCCTTCCTTTGCAGGCGCGAGGAGGGGTCGTGGAGGTAAAGGAGGACAGGCAGTCACGAAGGGGAAGGAACGTCGTATGCTTGAGGCTTCAGGGGCAACGTGCGGGTTGATTGTGGGTGCCCGGAAACTGCCTCCATTCTTCAGGGCATTCTTCTGCTGGCGGCCCCGCCTTCTTGCAACGCCTTTGTTGACTTTGGGGTACCAGCAGGAGACAGTGCCTGCCGTGTGTGTGTGTGTGTGTGTCTGTGTCTGTGTGTCTGTGTCCCAGCGTGTGACCTGCCGTGCCCTCAATGGACCTTTTCTCTGTTCTTTGCAGCTCCTTTCTTTGCAAACTCTCCCGGCTCTGACAGTCTTTCCAGCGGCTCCTTTCAGAGCTCCGGCCCCCGAGGCTACTGCTTCGAGTGCCCCTTCCCCTGGCACCCCCACCTTCCTGGTTTCTCCCCCACCAGCACGGGCTCTGACCCCAACCTTTTCAGCCCCCTCGAGAGTGGTACCTTCTCCACCCAAGACTCGTCTTGGGCTCATGGCCAGAATGTACCGCAAGTGCCTGCGGCTCTGGATTACAGCCCGCAAGCACCAGCAGGCTTTGCTCAGCCCCAGGCAGTCAGCGGGCCACCCGCTGCCACGTTCTTTGACTTCAATCCGCAGTGCATTTCGTCACCAATCCCTGCGCCAGTTCCTTTACATGCTGCTGCCAACAACATGATGGCCGTGCCGGGGGCAGCACCAGGACTCTCATGGAATGACATTGCCTTCCTCCTCCCAAACGCACCCCCTGCGGGCCCGCCTCCCTCAATGCTTCGCACCGTGCCACAGCCCCATCTGCAGCCTATCATCCTGCAGAACCCAGATCCTTTTGTCCTGCAACCCCCACCTCCCGGCAGGAGAGCCAGGGGGCCCCTTGTCCTGGGGCCCCTTGCTCAGCCCATCCAGGCCCCAGCAGACCCGCAGAGACCCCCTGATGTGAAGCCAAAGGAGCGAAGAGGTTCCACAAAGCCACTAGATGCTGCTGCCATTGCGAGGATCCAGGAAGCCAAAAGGAAAGGTGAGAGAAAGAGGCCACAGCACTCCCCGAGACCGTGTATGTGTGTTGGGGGTGGTGGTGGAGGCACTGGAGCTGCAGGGGGAGCCCTTCCCCGTGGACTCCTTTCCCAGGACATTGACAAGCAGCACAAACTACCCACAGAGCCGCCACCATGGCCAAGCTTAGGTTCTTCTTCTTGGTCATCTGTGAATTCACACTAATGGGTTTTAGTGTGCTTGCACAATGAACCTCGAAATATTCTAGAGCTTAAAACACATGTTCTTAGGACCTTCCTCACATCGCAGTTAGCCCTGCCTGCGGCACCAAGGGCCTCAGTTCCTTTTTGGCCACTGCGGCAGCAGTGCCTTGGCTGTGGAGCTTCTGTCTTATAGTCTCTCTCTCTCTCTTTCTCTCTCTCTGATGGGCATTCACATTGTATTTTCTGTTTGGGCGAGGCACATCAGCCACCCTCGTGTCAGGCCTGCAAGAATTTGACCAAACCGGCCCTCAAGTTAAGACTCCAATGGTTATGATCCTTCCTATGGGAGAAGTCCCTTCAACCATCTCAAGGACCCGTGGAATCCTCCCAAATTCGCACCTCGGAAAAAAGTCCCAGAGTTGTTCACCTACAAGGCAATCTTTGAAAAAGTCTAAGACGACTGCAAAATCTCACCCCTCGATAGCGGGATATGCTCTCTACTACGGAAGGATACCATCTCACAAGTTCATCATGCAGACGTGGCCTTTGGGTTCTATTCCTGACAGTTCGCAGACCTAAAGAAAGATGGCGGCCTCCGTCCCATCTTAGATCTCTGCCACCGCAGTTCGAACATCACCCCTCAACATTTCCGCATGGTCACACTTGACAGTACTATCCAACTACTCCGGCATAGAGACTGGTTCACTGTTATCGACTTAAAAGATGCATATTTCCATAGAAGCATGCTTCCAGACCATTGCAGATTCCTGAGGTTTTCATTCATAGTGGTAACGTACGAGTTCCATGCTCTTCCCTTCGGGTTGTCTACCACTCCACGGGTGTTTACCAAAAGCCTTGCACCTGTAGCTGCATATCTCTGCTTCCAAGGCATCACCATCTTCCCGTATTGGGATGATTGGCTTCTGGTATCTTCATCCTGAATCAAAGCAGAAGGAGATACCAAACACAGTACACTCTGCCCCTATTATCCACGCTGGGGCTCTGACTCAACGCGTGTCCGTGCCTTTCTTCCAGAGGACAGAAAAGGGAAATTTTGTTCCATGCTCTGGTTCTTCCTACCAGGTGCCCTCGTTTCTGCCCATCTGACTCAGTGGCTCTTAGGCCTCATGGCTTCTACAATGACGGCGGACGTCCAGCATGCTTTCCTAAAGATGCAGTCCCTGCAAGCATGGTACCTGACTCTCTTCGACCCTTGGGTTTATCCTCCGTCCAAGATGCTGAGGAGCTTGTGGGGAAACACTTCAAATCTCATCATCGGGAAATCATTCAGCCCACTCACCTTGTCAATCCAAGTCACCACAGATGCAAGTCCAATGGGCTGGGGCGCGCACTGCAGCGATGCAACTATGCACGGCCTATGGACCCCTTCAGAGAAGAGCCTGAACATCAACCACTTGGAGCTTCCCGCAGCAATCAAGGCCTTCCAGGCTTTCAAAGGGCAGATCACTGGCCATGCAGTTCAAGTCGCCACTGACAACAGCAAGGAGGAACTCTCTCTCTCTCTCTCTCTCTCTCTGCTCAACCTAACAGTAGACCTATGGGAGTGGTGTTACATCCGTCGCATCTACCTGGTGGCAGTTCACATCTCGACAGAGGACAACACACTAGCAGACCACCTCAGCAGGTTACACTCCTCCACTCACGAGTGCTCTCTCTCGACAAGAGTGTATTCCTGATTCTTTGGGACACTCCACGGGTAGACGTCGTTGCCTCCTCCATCAACAAGAAATGCCACCAGGACTGTTCACAGGCAGGAGTAGGACGCGCCACTCCCATAGGAGATGCCTTCATGACCAACTGGACTGTCAGCCTCCTCTATCTCTTCCCACCCATTCTGCTCCTTCAAAGGACCATCATAAAAATTTGTCAGGACAACTCAAATGCCATTGTGATCACCTCACAGTGGCCTCGCCATCCGTGGCTCTCAACCCTCTGGACCGTGGCCACAGACTACTTTCACCTTCCATTGCTTCCTCATCTGTTGACCCTCAATCAGGGCAAGACGTTCCACCTGAACCTCCACGCACTTCATCTCACCGAATGGAGGGGAACCCCCCCAATCGCAGAGATTCTGAGTCATGGCCGAAAACCTTCCACTACAACTTTACAGTAGATGGCTATAAATGGAACACTTAAATGTTGCCTTTGCACCAACACACAACTTACCTGTGTTCCCTACATCTTTGGATTCGGTCCTTCAATTCCTCTTCACCTCGTTCACCTTTTGCATTGCACATGAAAGTGTACATTGCTGCGATAGGAGCACATCAGCCCCAGGGTTCGGAGGTTGCATCATTACTCCGCCACCTCACACTGAAGTAGTTTCTATGAGGGTTGAAAAACATACCCTCTGCATGCAGGCCTCCTACGCCTCAGTGGCCACCACCGTTGGTTCTCAGCGGCCCAGTGCGGCTTCCTTTTGAACCAAAGGCTAATGCTTCAGACTCTTGATGTGGAAGACTGCCTTCCTTGTGGCAATGACTTCAGCTCGTAGAGCCAGTGAACTCTCTGCTCTCCGTCTTGATCCACCTTTTCTCCAGTCTCACCCTGACAAGGTCATGCTTTATCCTGACCTCTCGTTCCTGCCTAAGGTGGCTTCGGATTTCCACTTCACCTGTGGTCTTGCCAATGCTCTTTCCTGCTCCTACTTCGGATTTAGAACGTTCCGACATTCTTTGGCTGTACAACCTGCCCTGGTGTATTATGTTTCTCAGATGGCTGTCTTTCGGAAATCAAACAAGCTGTTCATCAGCTGTCAAAGCCATGCTAGAGGTTCCCCACTCACCTCTCACTCAGTCTCTAGATGGATTGTGTCAACAGTTCATTTGACATATGAAGTTGCCCAGACACTCCTGCCACACACTGTGAGAGTGCATTCCACCAGAGCTGTCGCAACATCCACGGCATTTCTCGAACTCACTGACATTCCCAAGGCAGCCACATGGGCTGCACCATCTGCTTGGCCATGCTGTACTGACTTGTGCTTTATCGCGACGTCCCACCTCCTGGTAAGTCAGCTTGCTAGTTACCCAATTGTATGCATTCACAGAGATCATGAAGAAGAAAGAGAGGTTACTCACCTGTAACTCTGGTTCTTCTTCTTCTTCGAGGGGTCCTCTGTGAATCCACACTTCCCGCCCGTGTATGCCTTTTGCACGCTGGGCAGTGGCAGGCTGTTCTTCAGAACCAGGTCACTTGGTGCCGTGGGCAGAGCTAACCGCGATGTGAGGGAGGTCCGAACAACATGTGTTTTTAAGCTCTAGAATATTCCACAGGCTGTCGGAAGGGTCCAGAAGGTGCTCTCTCTTCTCAGAGCTCTGCCCAACTGATGAGGGTGCTGGAGGGTGAAGCAGAAAGCAGGGAGGCAAGGCCAGGACTGTGGCTCGAAAGGGAGCATGGGCAGGTGAGGCCAAGGTGGAGAAGGGCCTGGGAGCAAGGAGGGAACCCAGGTCAAGACAGGTCAAGGCAGCTGGGAAGGAAAGGCCACAGAGGCAGGCAGGCAGGCAGGCAGGCAGGCAGGTGGGTTCCCTGGCATAGACCCATGGCTGCCCACAGGAAGGGCATCCTGCCCACCCCCGGGGTCAGAAATGCTAGCCAATAGCAAGCGCTTGGAGCGGCTGTTGCAAGGCAGGATAAAGAGCCAAGATAAAGGGTTACGTTGAGGGCATTCCAGACTTCCCCACTTCCCTAAATGCATCCCTTTGGCTTAGATTAAGGATCCGTGCTTGTACTGAGAAGAGGTGGGGACAAGGAAGACATGGAGGCACAAGGCTGGGAAGGAGAAGGTGGATGTTGGGGAAACTGTGAGGGAGCCCAAAAGCCAGCAGGAAAGGACAGGACCCTTGCAAGCAGATCGGCCCAAGTTTTCTGATAGGCTTTGCATTTCATTTTGTTTGTGGCTTTTATTTGGGAGGTTTTGCTCGTTTTGCTTCCACTTAACACATGTTAGCCTCTGCTCAGCCACTGAAGATGAGCTTGGCAAGAGGGCCATTGTCAGAATTGTCAGAAAGCTTAGTGCCGCAAGAGAGCAGGTTCTTACCCAACGTATGCCCCGCTGCTCTCTGGGGCGTATGATCTGTTTTGCAAGGGTTGGTCGTCTGACTCCGATAGAATGCAGTCCTTGCTTGCCTGCTTCCTTCCTTCCTTCCTTCCTTCCTTCCTTCCTTCCTTCCTTCCTTCCTTCCTTCCTTCCTTCCTTCCCAATCTGTGAGATGCTCCAATGGGTCTCCAAAGAACATATCCAGCAAAAGCAAAGGCAAAAATAAAACAAACAAACAAAAAAAAACAATGCAGAGAGACGAAAACACAGCAGCATCTTAAGGACTAACTTCTGTATTCCAATGTGAGCTTTTGTGGGTTGAATCCCACAGAACTGCGTCAAGTCAATTCTGCTTTGGGATGACCCCCTTTTTCAGGGTGGTCTTGATACGAGATACTCAGAAGTGGTTTAGGGTGAGGGTCAGTGGTTGACCCTCCCCTTCTCCTCGGGGTGCCTGAGACTGTGCAGCTTGCTTAAGGACATACAGGGGGGCTCTGAGGGGATGCAGAGAAGGGAACTGAACCCCCAGCTTCTGGCTCCATGACCAGAAACCTTAACTCACGGAGCGATCCAACCAGCCGGCCCATTGTTGTTGTTGTTGTTGTTGCTATGTGTCATCAAGTCACCTCTGACTTATGGCAATCCCATGAATGAGGAATCTCCAAAAGGTCCTGTCCTCAACAGATCAGCTGAGCACCTGTAGACTCAAGCCTGGGGCTTCCTTCAGGGAATAAGCCCATCTCGTATTGGGTCTTCCTCTTTTCCTGCTGCCTTTCACCTTTCCTGGCATAATTGCCTTTTCCAGAGAATTCTGATGGACCATTATAACAATTAGCTCTTTCTGTTCTTTTTAAAGATTATCATTCTTAATTGTATTTAAAAGAGCAATAATTGATAATATTTTAATATTATATCCAATAATTTATCTCTTTGAAAACCAGTGCCTATTCTTTCTTTCTTATTTCACAAGTCCACCACATATGTAAATAACTTCCTTTTTACATCTACAGCATTGAGACGGTACATTATTATTTATAATATTCACTCTTGTTGGGCTAACAAGTTTCTTTTACCCTTACAGACACATTCTTCATTATTCTTTGTGACCATATTTTGTTCCAGACCTCACTTTTAACCCTTTCCTCCAAGTCCTCTTGCCACTGATGTTTCATCATAGCTTTTTCATATCCAACATTTGTGAAAATCTTATAAATCGCACTTACTGTGCCGTTTCTTTTATTTCCTTCCTCTTGAACTTGTCTTTGCTCTATCATCTCAAATTTAGTCAATTGTCTAACTTCTCCTTCTTTTTGTGGAATATACCACAGTTTCTTATTAATCCTTATTCTTTTGTTTCCATTACAATAGCTATTTATCAAGTTCTGCCAGTCTTTCAGATATATTTTTTTCAATCTTTGTTGGGAGCATCCAAAATATAAAGTTAAGTTTAGGATAATCTTCATTTTACTTAATACTATTCTTCCAAACCATGACAATTTAAAATTTTTATATTGATTTATCTGTTCATTAATTTCTTTCTTCAGTTTATCCATTAATCATTTCTTGTAAAATCCATGTAATATAAATACCTAAATATTTAATTACACTTCCAATTTTCCCTTAATTTTTTTCTTTTCTTTCTCATCTGCTTCTGAATGATTTAATAAAATACATTCTGATTTCTCCCCATTTACTTTCAAACCAGCTATTTCTTCAAAGTCCTTCAAATGTATTCTAATATTCTGCAATGTTCCTTTTGGGGTTTTATTTATTAATAATGTAAAGGTAAAGGTAAAGGTTCCCCTTGACAATTTTTTGTCCAGTCGTGTCTGACTCTACGGGGGCGGTGCTCATCCCCGTTTCCAAGCCATAGAGCCAGCGTTTGTCCAGAGACAATCTTCCGTGGTCACATGGCGAGTGCGACTTATACGCGGAACGCTGTTACCTTTCCACCGAAGTGGTCCCTATTTATCTACTTGCATTTGCATGCTTTCAAACCGCTAGGTTGGCAGGAGCTGGGACAAGCGATGGGCGCTCACTCCGTCGCGTGGATTCAATCTTACGACTGCTTGGTCTTCTGACCCTGCAGCACAGGCTTCCGCGGTTTAGCCCACAGTGCCACCATGTCCCTACCATTAATAATGTATCACCCCCAAAAAAAGATTTATTTTATTCTCCTTTCTAGTATGTACACATTTAATTACAATATCATTTCTGATCACTTGTGTGAGCACTTCTATTATCAATATAAATAAAGTTAGAGATAGGGGGCAACCTTGTCTTGTTCCTTGGCCTAAACCTATTGATTCTGTTATGCCATCATTTATTATTATTTTTGCTGAGTTCTGTGAATATAATTGATGAACGATATGTCTAAATCAAGTGCCGAATCCTATCTGTTTAAGCAGTGTTTTTATTGCATCCCATTCAACCGAATCAAAAGCTTTGAAAATATCCAGGGATATCACACCTACCTTACATTTTGATTGTTTTGTTAAGTACATCAAATTAAGCACTTTCTTCAATGTATCTGACATCTGTCTACTTCGTATAAAACCAGTTTGGTCTTTGTCAATATATTTCCTATAAACTTGTTTAATCTTGCTCCCAAAATTGCTGTAAATATTTTAGCATCTTAATTTATCAATGAAATCGGCCTATAAGATTCCATATTTATAGGGTTTTTATCTGGTTTTAGAATTAAAACTGTTAATAATTCTTTCAAAGACTGAGGAATTTCTGCTCCTTTTAATATACCATTTAATATACCATCCTTTTAATTTTGGGATAAGACTACTTTTATTTACTTTTAATTTTAATTACTTTTAAGTTTTATAATATTCTGGGCCCAATCCATTTGTTCCAGGTGTCTTCCTTGCTTTTAATTTATTTAAAATAACTTCTGTCTCTTCCTCTCCATTATTAATATCCTCTCATTCTAATGTCTGAAAAGCAGGCCTGATCCGTAAAAGCTCACACTGAAATAAAAGTTAGTCTTCTAAGGTGCCACAATGTTTGAATCTCTGTTTGTTTGTTTGAATTTATTATCTGATACGCTGGCAGAGACTTACACAGCTAGTTCTTTCCAAACTTCACCTGGTTCTTGGGAGCTGTTTGCTACCTGTGCACCGCCGACACAATATAGTGCTGAAAGATCTGAAACTTTAGATCAGGAAACAGCAGCAGCAGCAGCAGCAGCAGTAATCTGGAGGCAGCGCGAGTCAGAGGCCATCCCAAATAAAAATGCACCCAGGAGTTTCCTGCGCAAACAAGGTTCCTAGGCAGAAAGTTAATTCCCCCCCCCAAGTCTCTGGCGGCCCCCAATGCAACAGGACCCAAAACCCGGACAGCTCCGTCTCCCAAAAGAGGGTGTCGGACCCACCGGGCGGCCTCGCCTCCCGAAGGAAGCCCAAAGAGGGAGGGTCTGCTGGAGGCAGCGTCTCCGCCACCCTGCGACCCCCGGCCGGCCGGGAGGGCTGGGCTCCCGGAACCAAAAGCCGCCCAAGCGCAGCCCCTCCAACGCCGCCTCGGAACCGCCGCGCCCCCGAGGGCTGCCCCGGGTGGGTGGACAAAGAGAGTATGGCTCAATAAGAAACTGACAACACATACCAAGATCCAGGTCTATAGAGCCTGTGTCCTGAGCACACTCCTGTACTGCAGCGAGTCCTGGACCCTTTGTGCCCGGCAGGAGAGGAAGCTGAACACCTTCCATATGCGTTGCCTACGACGGATTTTTGGTATCACCTGGCAGGACAGAGTGGCAGGAGCGCGTCCTGGGCGAGATCGCTTTCCAGCTGGACCGCCGCATCCTCGCCAGCATCTTTCCCAACCGGAACCGCCTCTACGGCTACACCGTCCAGAACGTCCCCGAGAAAGTGGCGCAGGTGAGCTGGAGGGCTGCGGGCTCTTCCCCTCGGGGGCGGGCCCTGCCCCTGTCCCTCCTCGCCGGAATCCCTTGCTGACCCCCCTCTCGCGCCCCCACCCGCATTTTCAGGTCGCCAACGGCCCCGAGCCCCGAGCCCCCAGCCCTAGCCCCACCCGGGCGGATTCGGGGGTCCTCCTTCAGCCTCCCTGCCTCGCCCATGCCGGGGACGGGGGGGGGGAGGGAAGAGTCCTTGCCTCGGGCGCCCACGAGTGGGCACTGGGCGGACGGGTGGGTCTTCATCAAGGTTCAGTCCACGGGGAGGACTTCCTCCTCCTTACCCCCCACGCGTGGCCTTCCCTCTCTTGCTTTCAGCCCTTCTGTGAATGCTCAGACAGGACGGTCCTCTCAGCTGCCACCTCGGTGCCCTCACAAAAGCCAGCTTATCTGTAGAAACTAAAGTGTCTTCTACACCAAATAAAAAATCCTAGCGGCCCCTGAGCCCCCCCCCCCGCGCCAGAGAAGAGCCAGGGACGCTTTTACTAGAAAGGCCACTGAAACCCCCCAGCTTTCAATGCCGCCTGTGCTTTCATCAGGCTGGTCCCAACCGAGGGGTGAGGAAGACACGTGTGTACAAGTCCCTGCAAAGCCAGGGCTAGGGGTGTGTGTGTGTGTGGGGGGGGAGATCCTTTTTTGAAGCAATTTCCAAAATGCAGCTTACAAAATCCACTCAGAGGTGGTTGGTTCCAGATTTCATCTGCAGCGCATTGTGAACTGGGAGCCCCCCCCCCAGGTATCCCAAGGGTATCTCACCCTGGCATTTCTAGTTCTATGCACTTCTCCGCCCCCGCCCGGATAAAAAAAGGAACCATGGGTCTTGGGTGGGGCTGGAAGGGAGTGCTTTGGGACTGGCAGGTCTGATTCAAGCAAATTTGGGGCGTTCTGATCCGCATCACCAGCGGGGACATCTGACCTCTCTGAGCGGATTGTGCAAGCGGCAGACAAGGCCACCTGGCCTGCACGTCCGGCTGTGGGTTAGGGGCTCCTTTTGCGTGTTTCTTCCTGGGGCTCACCCCAAAAGTGTGTTCAGAAAGGAAGTCCCCCACCCCCAAGCCCCTTCTGCACGGGGAGGGGTTTCTCTCCAATGGGATGGAGAGGGTGGCGTACAGGGGAGGGAGAGGTGCACAGAGGAGGGGGGGGACGGGTACAACAGGGAAGGAACCCTGGACACCTGGCCTGACAGCAGCACCTTTCTCCCCAGGGTGGAAACGACCCCTTCCAGAAGCTGAGCCCCGAAGAGTCTGCCGCCATCCTGGAGCGCTACAATGCCATCATGGAGCGCCTGCGCCCCCTGGGCTACGACCCCAATGTCCACCCCAGGATGATGGAGACCATTGTGAACACTTTTGGCATCCTTCGGGACCGGCCCGAGGGCAGAGAGGAGGAGGTCAACGACATCCAGTACCTGCGCAACCTGATCAAGGACACTGCGCCCCCCGACATGCGCAACACCTGCATGCTGCTGCTCAGCTGCCTCCAACAGCTGTCGCAAGACGACGGGAAGCCCCTCTTCATCTGGTGACCCGATGGACGACCCCTCCCTATGTGCAAGGCAATAAACCTGCTGCAATAACCTCCCCCAGTGTCGTCTCCTGTGCATGGTGGGGACAGGGATGCGTGTGTGTCAGTGTGTGTGTGTGTGTCTCTCTCTCTCTCTGTGTGTTCTCCCCATTCCAGGCTAGTCGGGTCTCTAGCCCAGTTTCCCTGCAGCAACTGTGGAGGGAAACACTGGGCGGCCTCTCGTGGTACCTTCCAGTCAGGAGCAGAGGCTGCCTCAGTTGCTCAGGGCTAAAACTAGCCCACCCTAAGACGGCCGGACGGGGCACCTGAGGCACGGAGCCCCTGAACCAGGGGAGAGTTCGGTTGCCTCCTGGAACCCGATCTTTCCTCTTTGGAACTGAAAGGAAGAAAGGGGAAGGAGGAGGGCTCCCGGAACAGGGGGCTTGGCAGTGGCAAGGGAACTGGAGGGGGGGGAAGGTTGAGTCACCCCAACCCCAAAGCCTTCACCCCACAGGAGGCAGGTTTCCACGGCATATGAATGGAGCTGTGACCCATATGCGACCACAACTGACTGCATGCCGAGGGCAAGGGGCAGCAGCGTGCCTCCGTACGCTCCCCACTCGATGATGATCCGTGCCTCTCCTTTTCCAGGTGTTGTCACTACAGAGAGGACTCGTAGGGTTTACCTTTCTGAGACTGTGCAGCTTTCCCAAGGGCGCGCAGGCTGGCTCGTCTCTCAGCAGGCACACACACACTCCGTCTGGGAGCTCAGCGCTTTCGCCTCAGGCTGCGCCCCCCCCCCCCGAGCTTCTGCCTCCCCACAGCAATTGGACGCTTCTCCTTGGGCTGCAGTGCCAGCCTCTCCTCCCACCCCCAAACCCTGCAAAAGTAATAAAGACCCCTGATTGTGCCACTTCGGAAAATGTCAGGGAACTTCAGGAGGTGCAATGCGCGGGGACTTCTTATCGCCTCGGTCACAGGAATCCATGGATCTTTTAGGGAAAAGGGGTATTGGCCAGCAAATCGGCAAGGTCGCTTCTCTTAATACTGTACAAGCATAACAAATGTAAGCCATTTCTGTGCCAGGATCCTTACCATTCATACCAACAGCCGCACTGCTGGGGCAGCTGCCCCCAAGGTAGCAGCGGGCAGATGCTGGGGGCACGAGAAGCTGACCCAGTTCTTGGGCCGCCTCCTGAGAAGCGCCTTGTCCGGGCCAGCCTTTTAGACTTTTCCCACCTGGGCTGGTCCCGTCTCCTGATCTTCTGCAGGTTGCACCCGTCTCTGCTCCCATCTATGTTCCGACTTGGAGATTTTCCTGACACCTCAGACTTGCCATGTACTTCTGGTGTGGCAATGCCCGTATCAGCATCTTCCTGGGGCTTGGACACTGTTTCGCTGTCCTCCTCATCCCCTCTGACCATCTTGCGGACCATGAGTATGGGCTCCTCTCAGCCCCAGCTTCTCTTCTCTCTCTCCCTCTCTCTCTCCCTCTCCCCCCTCCCTCTCTCCAGGGTTCACATTCCAGCCTCTCATGCACTTTTGCTTCTCTAACTGAGGTTAAAGATGTCTGACCCTCACTGGTCCACGGATGGGCTGCCTTCCAAAAAATAACAGGGGAATGTACATTCAGTACGGGTGACATGCATTTCAACCAAACTCGACATATATCTTGATCTGCTATCAGAACAAGCTTATGCCGCAAACATAGGGGCTTGGGGAGGTCACTAATTCATAGGGTCACCAGATGCCAGTAGTGGATGAACGGCACATAACAAAAACAACCACATGTACCGTCCTCAGTGCTCTATGAAGACCAAATAACATGGGATGGTTTATGGTCTCTGCAGGTACTGGCCTAGAGATGGAGAACACAGGAAAGCAAACTGGGCCCAGTGGGGCTGTTATTTGCCACAGGCGACCTTGGGCAACCCTTCTCTCCTTCTGAAAGGGGAAGCAGGGCCCAGAACTAAGGGTCTGGGAGATCCCTAGCTACAAACAAATGGATACGGAGTCTAGATCAAAGACAAAGTGCTCCGGATGTGAAACATTTTGTCTATTGAGTGCTAAAACATTTAAAGGTGTATGTGTAGGAAATGGGTAGAAAAGGCAGTCTTGAAAATCTATGTCGTATACTTTGAAAAGGGCATTTGAACAGCTTATTGAGAGTCACTGGAAAACAACCAGCCCGTTTTCCAGCCAAGTCCATAGCAGGGTCGCTAGAGGACACCATGGCCATGCCTGACAGTTGAGCCCTGGGAGAGAACGGAAGCCCCTTGAAACAAGCAAAGCGTGCCTTATGGCGACTGGGGATGGCGCTGGCACATTCTGGTGCGGCTCCTGGTGCGGCTGGCGGGATGGTTCCCCGCGGCGCCTGCCCTCCTAGCCCCGGCCACTGCCTGCCGGGATCAGGCGCGCGGGGACCGGCAGCTACCGCCACCCCCCAACCCCCTCCCCCGATGCATTCGGACCAGGGGCGGGGGGGGCGTGGTGGAAGCGTCGGGCGCCAGCTGGGAAAGAGGGGAACCCGGGCTGGGCAAGAAGAGGCTTGATTCCGGCGCTCGGGGGGGGGGGCTGCCTTCGGAAAGTGTCAGGAAACTTCAGGGAGTCTAAAGTTCCTCGCAAGCTGGGGGGGGGCAGGTGGGTAGCTGGGGGCGTCCAGCCGGGCCTCCCCGGCCACCCTGGCTGTCTCTCAATCTCCCCCTCTTTCTCTCTCTCTCTCTCTCCCGCAGGGGACGGGGCGGGCGGCGTGCCCGGCATCCTGGTGCAGGACTACAGCTTCGGCAGCACCAGCTCCCTGGTGCCGCGCGGCTACTGCTTCGAGTGCTCCCTCCCATGGCACCCGCACGTGCCCTGCCC